AGCTGGCCCCAGTGAGTGGAGATGTGTTTTAGGAGGAGGAATGGAGACTTCAGCCTCTCCCCAACCTCAGCCAGCTGAGCCTGTGGCTGTGTGTGCTGCAGGGCTTGGAAGAGGACAGGGACACCTTGCAGTGGCTGCTCAGCCTGTTGCTCCAGAGCCCTGCTGTGCTCCCAAAGCACAAAAGCAGCAGTGCTGCTTCAAAGAGGACTCCATCAGCTCCTTGAGCTTTCAAAGACCTGGTGTTACTTTGCTGTGGATTTAGCATCGCCCCTAACCTCTGGGTCACGTCGACCAAACCACTCTGCAGCCTGTTTAAGCTCCAGTAGTCTTGGCTGGATTTCTGGTTTAATTTGGAGACAGCCTGCTGTAGCTCTGCACTGTAAATGCCCTATTAAGCAGTTAATTATTTCTCTATAATACTAGCTTTTATCTTTAATACAACAGTTTTACTGTCTCTGATAATTACAGAGTCTTGGATAACTCTCTTAAATCTAATGAGGCATGACAAGCTGTGTTCAACAAGGCACCACACCATTAACTTCTTGCCTCTTACTTGTCATCTTATCACACTGAATTACTGTATTTCTAGCCTGAGTGGTTGTGGATACATAACATGTCACTTTTCATTAGCAAAATAATGAAAATCATCCTTGGTGCTCTCACAGGCAAGCTAGTGGTCATCTGGTTGGCCTGGAGACCCCTCCAACAGCTTCTCTGCAGCATTGTGCCCTTTGTCCCATGAGCTCTTATTAAGTTTCAATACTTGAGTCTGGTGACTCCAACAGCTTGGTTGGTCCATGGGTCTCTTGCTTGGGGGTGGGTGAAATGCAGATGGCCCTCTGAAGGGCATCAGTGGTGACAGCCCTTGTCTCTGATGGTGGAAGTCATTGCTGCAGGGATGTCTCCTGGTGGGGTTCAACTGAGTAATTTCTTCTGGACAAGTTTAGGCCACAGGCTGCTGTGGAAATGCTTGATATAGTCTGACCTGACTTCTGTGTTACCACCTGTTGTTGGCAATAATGGCTCAAGCTGCTGGGGTGCTGTTTCTCTGTGGATTTGATGGTGGCACTGACAGCTGTGCATGTGCCTGACCCAAGTCCTGGGGTTAGGGGGTTTGTCCTTTCATACATCACCCAGTCACCTTGCCAGTAGAAAAGTAAAAAGTTATAATTCTGAAACATCAGGGCTCCTGGCAGGGAAGCTCCTGCATCCTTCCAGGCTGGACCAGAAAGGCTTTTCCCAGGGGAATGAGCCCAGGCTGCCCTTGGGGCAGATGGTGGGGTCCAGTTGGCAGGCTGGATGCTCAGGTCCTGCTGGACTGGACAGACCAGTTAATTACTGCCTAGGTGCAGAACAGCAAAGAGACCTTTGTTTTTTTTAAATCAGCTGTATCCAGATAATATTTTGGTGTTTTTCTCCAGCCTTTACTGAGCCTGCTGTTGACTCAGCTCTTGAAGGTGTCTGTCTTCTGGTATGCAGACCTTGTATGAGTTGTGCTGTCAGAGCTGGGGAGGAAAAAGCCTCCTTTCATTTTATAACCCAAGGTTGAGTTATTCCCATCCATGGGACCAGCTAGTGTGGTGGATTAGATTAGTTTCTGGCTCTAAAAGGTCAGAAGCTGTTCTCTTCTCTGCAGTTTCACTACCTGGAAGACTAACCACTGGGTGGAGTTTAAATCTGGAAAGAGAGCTGGATGCCAAGCCCTGTTTAAAATTGTGCTGGCCTTCTCAGCAGTGTTAATGATCTAAAATGGGCTGGAGGTGTTGCTGGTGCCTGCTCCTCCTGCAGGCAGTACGGAAAGTCATGTCTGTAAGAGGACATCGGGGCTGTGTAGAAGGATTTGGTGATTAACACTCACAAAATCTGCTCTTGGGGTGGTTTCTCTGGCAGTTGTGCATTGCACGTTGATTCATACTCATGTCCTGCTGCTTTCAAGCTCCTAGTTTCACTAGGTGGCACCACCAACCAACTGCTCTGACAGCCTGGCAGAGATGTGAGCAGGAATTAGAGATGATGCACTGAATTTTTATAGTTTTTCCATTTCCCTAAAAAAAAAAAAAAGTCCTAGCTCATTATTTTGAGCTCTGAATCCTGTTGAAGCTGGCAGAGTGGTTGGGAACTGACTGTGGCCAACTGAACCTGCTGTCTGTCCTGAGCTCCTTAGCACTGGCGAGGGAGGAGAGTGGTTCCAGCAGCCAAGGTGAGGTCAGGGCTCTTCACCTTCTGTCTGCTGAGGTTTGGAGGCAGCAGCTGTAACAGTGATGTCTCTAGCTCTAGATGTTGCCTCTGATTGGCAGCCTTACCACAAAGCAAGACAGTGCCACTGAATGCCCTTTGGGGTTTTTTTGGGGGTTATGTTGTTGTGTTTAGTTTTTTTTTTGTTTATTTAACTAATCTAATGTAGTGGAGAAGCCTTTTCCAAGTCTGCTTGTTCCAGAGCATTACTACCTGTGGGTTTAAAGGGAGAAGACTTGGCCTGGTAGTTGATACTTTCTAAAATGGGCTCCTTGCTGGAATGACAACAAAAGAGTCAAAACTGACTTCTGCATGAGGTGTGGTACTTGGGACTTCTCCTGTCTGTGCAGGTATAAAGCTGGTTGAACCCAAGAAGAGCATCAGTTCTGTGACAAACTACCCAAGACCTTCTGAGATGCTTCTACAATGCTCAGACCCCACTCTAAGCAAAACTAGGTACAACTCCAGCTTGCTGCTACCCCCAGGTAGTAACTACAGAAAACTCAGAACAGCAACTGCAACAGGCAGCAGCAGAGGACTCTGCAGAGGAGGACAAATGTGAAGGACTGCAAAGAGCAAACTCCTCTATGGCCAGAGTGACTTCTTTAAAGAATCATAGAATGGTTTGAGTTGGAAGGGACCTTTAAAGGTCATCTAGTCCAACCCTGCAATGAGCAGGGACATCTGCAGCTAGATCAGGTTGCTCAGAGCAATGTCCAACCTCACCTTGAATGTTTTTTAAGGCAAGAAGAGATGCTTCAGGTGTCTCTTTTGGGGTGTATGTTTGGTGGTGCTGAAGCCACGTGTCTCTGGCTGCTCTCCACTTTGGTAGCCAGTGGGCATGCAAGATATTGTAAAATGTTATAATGTTTTAATACCAGCTGGCACAAGCTTGGAGCCAAGCTGGTACCCTGGTAGTGGATATCACCAGATCCTCTGGTCCTGTTGGCTGCAAGGAGGAGATGGTTTTACTGTGCTGCTGTGGCTGAAAACCTTAATGGACTCTTGAGCCTTCTCATTTCACTGCCACTACTAGAATTTCAGTTTGCTTGCAAGTATAACTGGTTGGTGGGGAGTGATGAACCCTCCTGAGCTTCCCTTAGGTCCCATGGCATGAAAATACTGCTGCTGAAGGCTGCCAGAAGCACCCATCCATCTCCCAAACACCTCTGCTCTTTGTCCTTCTGACTGTGGGTGCAGGCATTGCCTGCTTAGACTGAAGCCAGGTCCTCTGGCTTTGTTCAGCTTCAGCCTGACAAATGCTGAGGGTCCCCCAGATTTTTTTTTGATTGTTTTTGTGTTGAAGATCAGCACAGACTGCACACGTGTATCAGTTCAGCTCTGCTGGTTGATGGAACCTCTGTAATCTTCTTTGCAGTGAAACGATTTAAGGAACCCGAGGAAGAGAGGCGTCCCTGGAGGATATGGTGAGATTTTTAATTTGGAGCTTGAAAAGACCATGTACATATAATTTTCTTTCCTACTAACAGTCTTCTAGGCCTTCTGAATATCCTGCCTGGCATGAAGTGCTCTGTTGTTGTTTTCTAAGGAAACCTACAAAGCTGGTGCTAGAAGTAAAATTCCCTTGCCTAGCTCCTCCAGAGAACCTTGTTTGGTTTTTCCTCCAAAATAGTTTGGGAGGCCTTGGTCTTAAAGTGGTATTCTAAAAATCATTTGGAGTTGGCTAAACTGCCCTTTTTCACCATGTACAACTCCTTGGGCATCAGGAATGCTTCCTAGGGGAAAGCAGATCCCTGCAGAGCCTTTGCTTGGCTGCTTGCTCTGCTGCTGGTGCTCCAGGGTATGGATATTTTTGCCTTTCTCCTCTCCAGGTTTTATGACACCTCCAAGCAAGCCATTGGTGCCCTCTTCATCCACTTTGCCAATGTTTTTCTGTCAGATCTCACTGAAGAGGACCCTTGCTCTCTGTGAGTACACAAGGTGCTTTTATTTGCCCCATGTCTCTAAAAGCCTGAAGCAAGCCTGTTGGAAAATGCCATGTGTGGTGGAAACAGATCTGTTTGAAGATACCTTGGGATAAATCATGCTGAGCTTATTTCCAGGGATGGGAACTCAGCCACTTCTCTGGGCAACCTGTTCCAGGGCTTTACAACCCTTTAAGTGAAGAAATTATTCCTTCTATCTAACCTAACCCTCCCCTGGTGCAACATGAGGCCATTTCCTCTTGTCCTTATCACTTGCTACCCTCTCTGACTAGAACCTATACCACTTGCTACCCTCTCTGACTAGAACCTCCTTTCAGGTTGTCCTAGAGTGATAAGGTCTCTACTTTATCCTCATTTGAATAACTCCTGTAGGCTTCAAAATGCTGCTGAAAACCTTCTGGTCCATCTCCTTTTTATCTATATAAAGTGCTGCACCTTCACACAACTTTAAACAGACACAAGTTTAGCTGGGACTAAATATAGCCTCTAAAACGATTTATCATTGTTTTATTAAATAGACACTATTTAAAAACAAACCTTTTTTTGTGCTATGCTGTGCCCTTGAGGTTTGTTTTTTTTAATATATTGTTTTAAATTTCCCTGTGCTGCCTGACTTGTCACCCCAAACCAGGCAGCTTAAACTTGACAGCCCTGGGCTTTGATGTTCATACACTACATGGCCTGCCCAGTATAAACCACCAGAGCTTCATGTTTGTGTTGGAGTGCTCTGCTCTCAGCAGCTGGAAACTGTAAGAAGCTGGTCTGAGCCTTTGGATGTAGAAAAACTTAATGTTGTGTTTTCAAAGTGGATTTCAAAAGCAGATTGTTTCCAGTGTCTTTATTCTGAGGCAGTATCAAGTTCTGGGGAAGGAAATGTTCATTCCTGTACCTCTGTGCTTGGTGTTCTCTTCAGGCTGTAGAAATCTGGCCTGACCTGGCAGAAAATATCCCAATGATGGAAAACTGGTTGGAAAACCTTAGTCTGAGCGACAGCTTTTTCCTCTGGAGCTCATTAAAATACCAAGCCCTGGATTAAAGCTTGGACTCTGTGGTTCCCAGAAGGTCCCTGCAAGTTTCCTGCCCCTGGTGCTTTGTCCAGTGAGCCTTGAACACCTAAAGCTGCAGAGCAAACCAGCTGAGCCCAGATTTGGAAGGGATGGGTTCAGCTACTGGATCTGCAGTGGAGACCCTGAACTGGGCTTTTGGGGACCCCAGCAAGCCTGCTGTTGAGCCAAGGCTCATCACCTCTCCCAAGACCTTCTGACTTTCTTTGCTTATAGGAGCCCTTTGCAGCTGCTCAGGAAAATTGAGTTTTTTGCCTCTTCTGCTGCAGAGTTTGCAGAGCAGCTGTGGTGTCTGAGAAGCTTCCACTTTCTTGTAGGAAATTCCAGAAATTGCTCCCTTCTCTGGTTTATAAACCAAGAAATTGCTGGTAAAGCTATTAGGAAAACCCAGTAGAAGAGAAAGGAAGTGAGCTTGGACTATTAGGTGGGGATTTCTTAAGTCTTGGGTTCTTTTTAATGGATTCTTATATTGAAATAAAAGATTGTGAGTAACACTTAAGAACACAACTGAAATCTGGATTGTTCTGTCCTTAGCTACCTCATTAATTTCATCCTTGATGCCACGCTGGGGATGCTGCTGATCTGGCTTGGTGTGAAGGTTGTCTCTTGGGTTGTGCAGCACAAGAAGTGCACGTACCTGGTCTTTGGAGAATATGGTAGGTGTCAACTGCTCTGCACAAAGGTGGCTTGTTTGCTCCCAGCAAATGAGAATGGGGGGGGAAAAATGGCAGAAACTACAGTTTGGGGAGAAGATGTGAGCAGCCTGCTGTTGGAGCAGGTCCAGAGGAGGCTACAAAAATGCTCATAGGGCTGGAGCCCCTCTGCTATGAGGCCAGGCTGGGAGAGTTGGGCTTGTTCAGCCTGGAGAAGGCTCCAGGGAGACCTTCTGGTGGCCTTTCAGTACTTAAAGGGGACCTAGAAGAAAGGTGGGGGTAAGCTTTTTAGTAGGGGCTGTTGCAACAGGATGCTGTGTGGAAGGATTTGGTGATTAACACTTAAAATACATGCTCTTAAGGTGGTTTTTCTGGCAGGGTTGTACATTGATTCATACTCCTGTGTCCTGCTGCTTTCAGGCTCTTGGTTTCAGTAGGTGACACCACCAAGCAACCACTCTGCTCGTGTCCCTGAAGGGACTGTCAGGAGTTAGAGATGATGCACTCAATTTTTATTTTTTTTCCATTGCCCTTTTAAAAAGAAAACAAAAAGTCACGGCTCATTATTTTTAACTCTGAATCAAAACATTCCATGATTCTTTTTGGGTATTTTTTGCTATTCCCTCACTTCAAAGCATGGAATTGTTCTTGTGTTTGCCTCAGGCTGTAGCAGACGTCAGCAGGACACAGCTTGGCCCCAAAACTGAGTTCTCAAACGACTTCTAGGGTTTGGGGTGGGGAGGTTGGAAGCTGGTGTTTTGTTTTTTTTTTTAGGTTTGTTTTGTGTGGTTTTTTTTGTTGTTGTTGGTGTTTTTTGTTTTGTTTTTTTTTTTTAAAAATCTCACCAATTTTAGGCATGCCTGAATCTGGCTTCTCTCTTCCATCCCTGCTTTAACAGAGAAAGTTTCAGGAAGGCTTTTCTCAGCCAGTCCCACTAGAGGGTAGCACCTCTCTTCAGAAAGAGCAGAGCCAGCTTCCAGGAGAGCTGGAAGGAAAAAGAACCCTTTGCCTATTTTATATCTAATATAAAGGTTAATTCAGTCTTACTTGATAACATACATCCTGCTCATACTTGTCCCATTCCCACCTTCAAGACCTCAGCTTCCACGAGAGCTGGAAGGAAAAAGAAAATGAACCCTTTGCCTATTTTACATCTAATATAAAGATTAATTCAGTCTTACTTGATAACATACATCCTGCTCATACTTGTCCCATTCCCACCTTCAAGACCTTAACCCTTAGGTCTGTTCTGAAGGTCCTCTCATTCCTTTGTCTTTTCAGTAGCTGGTCTGCTTACTTGAGTTGGTAGAACTTGAACCAAACTGGGATGAGTGTGGAGACCCCAGTGACTCGTGAGCTCTTACTCAGGCTCACATTCAGCACGTGTCAATGGGTGTGAATGTGTCGTGGGACAGGAGGAGGCAGCAAAAGCAGCTACAGACTGGGAATGAGAGGACAAGAAATGAGTGGAAGTGATGTGATGTGGCAGGGCTGGCTCTCACCAAACCTCAGAGGGGCTTTAAGGGCTGCAATGGCTTCCAGAGCAGGTTCAGCATCCTACAGCATACATCAGGCAGGGTCTACCACTTTTCCCCACATGGCTTTTCCTGAGAAAGTTGAGGAACCAAGGGCAGATTGCTAAAAACATTCAGATGAGACAGCTGAGGAATCCAGATATTCTTGGTTCAGGGACTGGCATTTTTCCCTTGCTGAGCAACAGGGACTCAAAGCTCCACCACAGCCATCCCAGGGTGCAGCTTCAGCTTTGTGAGCCACGTCTGCAGCTGAGCAGCAGCAAGGAAATATTAAACTGTATTGACAGCTTGCCTTTATAGAGCAGTAATGAACTTCTGTTGAGCTGTAGCTGGCCCCTCCTGAAGGTTGGCTTAGACTACAGTAACAGCTCAATCCTCTGAGGAAATCTTGCTTTCATTAATAATAATAATAAAAAAAAAACCTCTGCTATTGCTTGAATTTAGCTCTTGAATTGGGGCAGCTCAATCCTCTGAGGAAATCTTGCTTTCATTAATAATAATAAAAAAAAACCCCTCTGCTGTTGCTTGAATTTAGCTCTTGAATTGGGGATTAAATCTCATCCACTGAGCACTGTTCTTGGTGTAGTCTCTGGCCAGAGTGACCACAATGGAAAAATTATGTAGGAGTCAAGTGACATGTCCAGTGCAATGCTGCTGTAGGGCCAGGGAAGGAGAACACTGCTGTCCTCATCTGGCAGGTTAAGTAGCTGCCAAAACGGTTTGGAAGATGCTGGTAAACTTTGTACAGTTTGATACAGGCTCCAGAAATATGATTCATGTTCTGCTGTAATTGCTGTACCAGACTGTGTTGCTTTCCTCAATTCTCCAGAGAAGCAGAAGCCTCTCTTGCAGAGGAGGAAGGGCAGAGTACTAGGGAAGCACCAAACCAGTGTTCCAGTGACAACTGCCATTGCTTCAACCACCAGGGAAGAGCAGTTGTCTTTGCCCAGCACAGCCAGCACCCATCTATCTGCATCTTCCAGCAAAAAGCCTGTTGTAGCTGCCTCCTTCCTGACTCCCCAGCTCTTGGTTGCATCCCTGTTGCAAACTGCTGCAGTTATCCTCTTGTTTTGGGCCCCAGCAGCCCCTTCCCCTCTGCTGTTGGTACCTTTGTCTCCCCAGCCCCAGGTCATTCTCTGGGTGACTGCAATAGCTATGTTAGTGGAGAAGCAAAAGGAAGGGAAATCACCCAAATCTGCACTGCTTTAAGCTTCCAGCTGTCCAGAAGCATTTAGAAAAATCAATTACTTTATTATTTCCAAAATCTAGGAGACGGCTATTCTGAGATCAGCCTCTTGGACTTGATGATCCTAGAGCTCCTTTCCAACCATAGTGAGTCCATGATTCTCTCTACTGCCTGAGCTCTGGCCAAAGCCTGCTGCAGCCAGGAACAACCTGTTTCTCAGCTAATGGGGAATGCTTGGCTCCAGAGATCAAAGCCTGGAGAGGTGGTTTCTTCATCTTGGTTCAAGTAGGCTTTGGAGAATGATGGTTGCCTTCACTCAAAGCTGACAAACTCAAAATGCTCTGTGCACCATTGCTCCAGCAGCAGGGCTTCTCTGTAGATGCTCTCCCTGAAGGTGACTTCTGGAAGGAGGAGAACAAAGTGCAAGCTGCAAAGTTTTCAGGAGGTGGATACCCAAGATCTTGGAGGTGCTGGTGGGTCCATACAGACTGAGCAGAGGAAATGTTGATGTGTCCCACCTCCAGACTGCTCCAGCCCTCTCTTCCTCCCTCCCACGTTCCCATGGCAGTGAGCAGCTCCCTAAAGGGAACCTCTGAATGGCTGAGGTGTTTGGGCAGTTCAGTTTGTCTAATGACACTAAAGTATTAATTCAGAAATACTGGAGTGTTTTGTAGAAGCAAACAGTATGAGTTTGCATTCAGAGATGGCTTCTGCAGTCTGCAAGTAAAACAGTGAAGAGGAGCATGATGAAATGATGGGGAGAAATTTCTCCTGGGGAGAAAGAGGATGGTCTTGCTTGAAGATGCCTCTCTGGTTGCCAGTCCAGATGCTGACTTGTGTATGACTGTGGCTGCAGTCACTGACTAGTCTAAGCTTGATGCTTTGTGCTCATTCACTGTCTGGAAATGGAAAGGCATGTTGCTTGGAGGCCTTTAAAGGCTGTTTAGTGGCCTGTTGAACTCTGCTGGTCAGATTGAGTTGTAGGAGAACATGCTCTGTGCCAGCTGATGAGTTTAACTGAGGACCTGTGTAGGCTGCTCTTGGCCCTGTTGTGATGTTGTACAAGATTTCCATAACAAATCTTCCCACATCCTGAAGCAGCCAAGGGAGCTGGCTGCTGATGTTTGAGGAAATACTGCTGAAAATAGCTCTAACCTGAAGGACTCTCCAGCCCTAGGAACAGGGGGGAAAGTATGGAAAAGACTGAGGATCATCCTCAAATGGTCAAATGTGTGGTCAGGACCCTCACTCTGGGCAAACCTTTGAGCCCTCCTGCCTCTGGCTGACAGCAGCAGTGTTTGCCCCACTGCAGCAGCATCTCCAGGGACTGAAGACCCAGAGCAGTGACTGTGACACTGCAAGCTGGGGACTGACTCCAGCTGTACACTCCCATTTATTTTGGATGTAGAACATAGCAGAAAGGGTCTGGGATGTCCACTGGATTCATCTGGCTTCTCTGTGTCAGGTCCCAGGCTCTGAAAACCTGTTCTTGCCCTCCAAGTGAACATTTCTGTGCAATTCAGATGCTTTACTGCTATTCCTTACCCTCCTCTATACCTGGCATGGATAATTTGATCCCTTGGGTTGGGAGGTACCATTTGAGTATCTCCTAAAAGGTTTTATTGACTTTTTCTATCCCAGCTTTGCCACCCAGTGCAACTTTCACTGCTTTCAAATAACTGCTTTTCCTCACTCCCCCTCAACCCTCCCCTTTGGCTGGGGTTAAACTTTTTCCTACCTGCCCTGTGCACACGCAGTCCCCAAAAAAACATAAATAAAGCTGCCTGGCAGTAGCACGTGGGCCCTGCTGACAGCTTGGTACATTAGACAGCCTGGATTAAAGCTAATCCTGTTGTGTGGTAACAACTCAAATACCTCCAGCCCTGCTGCTTTTGCTCTGGGAGCAGCTGAGCTCCCACGCACCAGGGGAAGATGTGAGAGGTGTTTGGGGGAGGTTGCTGCAGGCATTGGTGCTCCTAGGTCTTCACTGGTGGTCCTAGGTCTGCAGCAAGGATGTTTTGCTGGTGGTGGGGAGCACCAGCAATGGTGCTGGAGGGGAACAGGCTAAATGCAACGTGTACGTCCTTTGGGGTGAAGGTCAAGGAGGATGTTTGTTTCTTGGCAGGGTTGGAGATGACCATAAGAAGCTCTGAGCAAAGAGTATTTAAGCTAAAAGGAGAGGTTGGTGGTAGAGTCCATGTTCAGGGCTGAGGTTACCTTCCAGCTAGGACTGGGGACAAGGAACTGAAAGTGTGCAAAGGGAGCATAATAGATGTAATCTCTTAACCAGTGTGATGTGGAAGCTGCAAAGATCCTTCTCCTCTCTCCTACAAGAAAACAGAACACAGTAAAGAGAAGGGCATTTTTTTCTTTTTTTTTTTCCTGGCCTCCAGGTAGTTGATTGGGGTTTGGTAGCTGTCAATCTTGTGTGACAGAAACAGTCTTGTAGGCACTCACCTAGATTTATGTAAAGGAAACACTCCATGTAAAATTCCTCTCCCATCCATGGAGCAGGGCACCTTTGGACAGCACCTGATCTGCTGAAGACCTTAAGTTGCATCTGATCATCTTGGGGGAAGCTAGCACCTAAATGAGGGGTGTGGTTAGCTGGGCTTGGTCCATGTTCTCCAGCCTTGCTTCCTAGCTGTGGAAGGTGGAGATGTGGCCAGTCTCTCTCGTGGGTTTGTCCAGGAACCACCCCAAAGACTCCCCATTCCTTGATGAGATGCCAATAGATCAGGTGACTTGTGTTACTGGCATTAGAATCTGAGTTGTTTAGGTTGGAAAAGACCTGAAAGATCATCCCATCCAACCATGAACCTAACTCTACCAAGTCCACTGCTAAACCATGTCTCTAGTGGTGAGTTAGACTTGGAGAATGGTCACTCTGAGGTGCATCAATGGTCCTTAGATGACTTCAAACCTGCTAAGGTAAGGAGCAGCCAGCTGAGCTCCTTGGTGAAGAGGAATCAAGCCACCGTCTCTTTATATCTGAAGTCATCCTTGCAGTCCTGTGGGCCATCCTGTTTCACTTTCATCTTTGTCCTGAGTTATTCTGGAGCAGAGCAGCCTCTTGTCCATAGGAGGCCAAGATGCAGTAAAAAGTTACTGTGGAGGTACCCTCTGATCTTCATGTCAGGGGGTGGAAATTAAGTCCTGTCTAATTCTGTGCCCCAGGATGGATTCCTGTACAAAAAAATCTCATCCCATAGGCTGAGAACAAAGCTCACAGTGGAAGAGGAGGAGAGGAAGAGGTTGCAGAACAGTAAGAATTTTGAGCTGCTGAAGGTGGTAGAGTAGATGGCTCTATCCTCTGGTCTCAGAACTGGAGTTCCATAGGTGGGATCTTGCACTTGCACAGTAAAAATTCTTCTCTAGCAAAGTGAGGTTGTCAAACCTCCAGAAAAATCAAGAGCAATTTGATTCCCTTTTTTTTTTCAAACTAAAAGTGTTTTTTGGGGGCATAAAGGAGCTATTGGCATTGGAGACATGGGCAAGTCCATGCCTGGGCTGGGTTAGGAAGCAGGTTGTCTTTTCTAGTGTTTGTGTACCAGCCTGGTTAGCCCAAACCTGTCTGGAAAGATGTCTTGTTGAGGGCCAGGGCTGTCAGATGCACAGCATACAGAGCTAAGAGCCATACCTGTAAGGAGTGGTAATGATACCCTACCCCAAAAGGGTGTGAGGGGACAGGTATATGGGGAGATCTCCAGCTGTCTGCTGTTTTTTGGGCAAGCTGAGCTGTCAGAGGGGAGGTGTTCCACACAGCCACTGTGAGTGCAGTGCAGAAGAGCTGACTTGCAAAGGGTGCTGTGGCTGCTGCTCGGGTCTCCCCACGGGGGATGGAGCACAGCTGACAACACAGAGCAAAAGGGGAAGAGTTCAGATGCAGGAAGGACACATTGGAGGTGTTTGTTTTTTCCTGTTTGGTTTGTACTCAGAGCTCTGATGGGTGATGGTAACCTGGGGTTTTGTAGGAGGATTGGCTGATCTTGAGATATGGGGCAACCAGCCCCGCTGTACCTAACCTGTGCCAAAGACAACGAGGCACTTGACTCTGCCAGGAGAGGCTGTCCATGCTTCAGGAGCATCAAAGCCTCTCCCACACTGGCCTTTAGCTGCCAGCTGCCTGTGACACTGCTCCTGTCTCTGCAGACCACCCATTAAGCTGTTGCTTGCCAGGGAGAGGAGACGTGTGCTTTCCAAAATCCACTGGGCTCTGCTGGTTGCACTCACACGTAACCTTCCTGGCTCCCTCCTCCCTCCCTCTGTGCAGCTGCTCGCTGCTCTGGCACTCTCTGCTTGCTCTCCTCCCAGCTCAGGAACCCCTCTGCAGCCCTGGCCTCCCAGTCCTGCCCTCTACTCACCTTTGCTTCCTTCTCAACTGTAGCTGGGGTGCAAGGTGATCACTCGGAGGTCTCTGACATGGAGACAAGAGCTGGATGCTTCTAATTCTTAGCTGTAGCTTTGCAACGAGGCAAATATTTTGGCAAGTTGCTACCAAGTGACAGAATAAGGACAAATATACACACAAACCTGTTCTGCCCTCACTGGGGAGCAGCTCCCGTTAGAGCTGGGCTTGGTTGACACCAGCTCTTACTAAATCCTGCTGTGTGCTGCTGGTCACTGCACCCAGAGGTTTGCACAGTGCTTTAGAGAAATGTGCTTTTGCAAACTGCTGGTGTTGTCTCCCCCTGCCACATCTCAACTGCTGTGCTGAGGGAAGTGGGGCAGAGCATCAGCCTCTCACAGGGGCTTGGGTGCTCTTGCATGAGTCCAAATTCTGGACTGATGATGCTGAAGAGGAGCGTTGCCAGGGGTTCTCTTTCTATTCAAGTGGCAGAGGAAATGCTACAGCTTTCCTGAGCCAGACAGTGTGGCTGAGTTTTGCAGAGCTGAGCTATTCTGATGAGCCTGGGAAGGTGATAACCAGCTGGCAGGGCGCTTGCAAAGCCCATGTAATAGATATGGTGCCATTACTGTTGTTAACAATGCAAATATGCTTTTACTTACTACTTGGGGAGTGCCCCATTGGAAACATTCATATTTAATTAGCATTGATTCTTTTTGAGTGAATTGCTCTAAAACCCAGAGCAGCAGAGCCCCTGTCTCCTGCTCAGACAGCAAGGATCACATAACCAGCCATCCACTTCATCAGCAAAAAGCCAATTAATTCTGTCTAGAACTGAAAGCTTGTGCTGCTTGTGTTGAAATTGGTGAGCAGAAATGTTCAGAGTGTTGCTGGCAATGGGGTGGGTAAGGCTTGGCAGGAAGCAAATTGCAGGTGATGTCTTTAATGAAGGATTGATTTTTTTTTTATAGAGGAGTGTGCAGGACGCTGACTGGTTCTTGTACAAAGGAAAGTCAGCCCAGCAGTGTCTTCTCTTGAGGATATTACTGGGATTAGTCTTGGTGCAGAAAGGATTTTCAGTCTGCCATTCTGGTCAAAATAGCTGGGGTTGTGTGGGCTGCTCCAATCCACTGGAAGGGTTGGGGAAAAGTGGAGGGAACCCATCTCTGCAGGCTCTTGTAGGCTGGGCAAGGTGAAAAGAAATCAGATCTCTGGTATCTGGGCAAAAGATCAGCAGACAAGGGGCAAACAGTGCCCCAGCTGATGATCACAACTGATGCCCCAAAGCAATACATGCCTGTAAGGAACAGATTGAGTAGGATGATGAGCTTTCTGAGCTTTGAAGCTTTCTTGAAGGAGGATTTTGGTACTCTGTCCTTTCAGGAGAGGGGATACTTGAACTCTTTTACAATCAGGGCTTCCCTCCCCTCCAGTCCCTCTATCCATCCAGATCAAAGTAGCTCCATAGCAAGGGTGGATACAGGCAATGCCCACCAATGGCTGAGGGGGAGGAAAAAATGCATCTCCAAGGCTCTGTACATCCTTTCCACCAAGTGGAGAAGAACATATTTCTCATCCAAACCAAGAGACATAAAGGTTGATCTAGTCTCCTTGGACTTACCAGGAATGGTTTCTCCATTAGGCACTCGTGGTACTGCTCGAGAGCCCAGGAGGGTCTGTGAGTGCTGCTGTGGCTGGATAAACACAGGGAATTTCCTGTCTTCAGGCAAAGACAGAGCTGTGAGTTTTACAGAAGCTGCTGCCTGCCTCGTAGGACACTTGTAGGACTTGATCCAGCAAAGCAGTTGATCTAGAGAGAACAGGCAATGGGGAAGGAGATGAAAGGGGTTTTGGTGGTGTTCTCCTCATGGTGGATTCAGAGGCATGTTGGTGGGGTGGGAGGAAGATGAATACAGTTAGTGTTAGCATCTGGGAGGTAGTTAGGACTTTTTGAGTCAAGTCTGTTGTTAATTGCTTGCCCTTCAAATGAACCAGAGGTCTGGATAACTGCCACCTCCCATTTCAGAATCAGCTTTAAAAAGAAGAAAAAGAGAAATAGTTTCTAGAACAAAAGACTGGTGGTGGTGTGTGTGTGTGGTGTCTCAAGAGGGAGAGCTCCCTTAGTTATAGATGAGTTGGGTTCAAAAGCACAACTGTGGTATGAAAGACAAATAGCTGCCCTGATCCAGGGAGTCTTCATGAATGGAACTGAGGTTGCCTTTCTGCACTGATTTTTCTACATCACTTTGCAAAGGTGCCAAATGAGCAGCAACTCATAAAGGATGCCAATCTGTTAAATTTTCTTTAATACAAGTCAGATTTCTTCCTTTTTTTTTTTTTTAAACCAGAAAGATTTGAGCTTAGATGTTGGTATGTTTTGATCTTCAATGGAGTAATGACTTGTAGACCCAGGAGGGATCCCAAACTTTTCTGCCCTAGGCGTGTGCTCCTACGACTATAGACAGAAAATCTCCATGAATTTTAAGTTCAGTATTATTTGTCTCACTACAAAGCTTGCAATAGGGAAACACTTTCTTGTTCCTCTAATCATCTTGGGTAACAAGCATGGGGCAACTCTTCTGCAAGGCTGTCTCCTCCTCTCCTCTGTCTCAGATTTAATGTGCTGTTTTCCCAGGTGACCCTCCACAAGCTGCTGCCTGGATTGGCCAGTGTATTCTCTACCTGCTGATAATGGTTTTTGAGAAGACTGTGATTAGTCTTGTCCTGCTTATCCCTGGTTGGACAAAGGTAAGCTCCTGAGCTGTGTTTTTCTAGCCACGGTTGTGGCTTATTTTTTGCCAGTTAGACCTTATTCGTGGTCCCCATCATCATTGGTCTTTAATCCTTACAACTTGTTGACATCTCTCTGTAGTCATTAGTTGTTACTTAAGTTGGTGGAAATGTGACTTTCATAACAGTTTGGCTTTTGGCCTGCTCTCCTGCTAGTCAAAAGCTAGTAGAATAAGATGATGCTTTAATTTTCTTCTCCATCCTTGGAAAGATAAAATGGGCTGGTCTGGCAGCTGAGCTGCTTCAGTTCTGCCAGAGGGTTTCTGCATTATCTTGTCAAGTCAGTTCATGTTGGTGTTTCCTGATCCTGTGCCTAAACCAGGGGGACTTTTAGAGGTTATTTGGAAAGAAGTATCCCAGTAGTGTGCTGTCCTTCCCTCCTCCAAACTGCCTCTGTATGGTAACTGTGATCACAAGTTTATCTTCTAAAAAATAATACACTAATAACCCTGTGGCAGTTGTAGCCACATACATGGGAGCAGGTAGGTGTGATGAGTTTTTAAAAAAACAGTTCTGAGTGATGGGTATCTCCAGTACTGAGAGCACTTCAACACAGTGCCTGTGTTTAGTTCAGTACCTCTCAGGCTGATGGGAATTGACTGAGGAGTTCTGGACATCAATCTGGGAGCAATTATCTGTTTAAGGGCCTGTCCTTCTAACCAGTAGCCAACAGTGCTGGCTTCAACATGAACTTGTTGTTCAGCAGCACACACTGCTAGATCCAGAGATGCTGCTGAGTTCCTCTCCATGCTTATCACATGTGGCTGGTGTCCTTGTTTCACAGCTGGGCTCCAAGGAGTTTAGGAAAGTCCCAGGAAAGCCCCACCAGTTGTTCTGGGTGGTTAAACTGGAAGAGGAGCAGCACTCACTTCTTCAGCTGTACAAAAGCCTGTCTTTGGCAGCTGAGCCAAAGGAACAGCCTGTGCAATCTTTCCAAGAGCTGGGCTAAAGCAAACCCTGCAGAGCCCTACCTAGCAGGCTGCTGATACGTGGCAGCAACCAGTTTGCAGTGAAGACCTCAACAGAGCTGTTCAAATAATGCTTCTAAATGCTTTCTCCTCTGCAGCTTCAGCAGATCCTCCTGGGTTATATCCCAAACCCCCAGCTGGAGCTTGTCCTGGTCATGCTGGTTGTGCCCTTTATAGTCAATGTAAGTGATGCCTCTGCCAACAGTGGGTTGGGGTGGTTTGGGAATTGTGGTCCCCCTGCAATGGAACTGGCCCAGGATCTGGCTTGGGGCAGCTGAAATAATTGAGGTGGCTGGGACAGGGTGGAGGGGGGTGGAAGCAAACGTTGTTGTGAATACACCAATGTGTCACTACTACTGCCCTGCCATGGTCTCTGTTCCTAATTCCCACTCCCTTGTCCATGCTGCTGACTCTTTGGAGAAAGCTGGGGCTCCTTAGCTGAGGGCTGCATCCTGGCAGC